ACACACACACACACACACACTGACAGGACGATCGCAGTACCCTCGCCTATACGCCTACGGCGTGGGCGAGGGCAACAACTACCTATACCTCGCGTAGGCGAGGCCAATAAACGGAAGTATACTGAGAGTATCCAGTCAATTATTAGTTATGACCTCAGATTTCTGGACATGCAGTTGCTCAAAGTTTGTGATTTAGCCTCTTCGAAAAATTTTCAGGCAGCACTGGGAAAAGCAAGAGCAACCAAACTATCTCAGTCTCTTTTAAATATCTAGGCAAATTTTTGTGCTTACTCTTTCTTTTAATAGAGCTTCAGATGCTAAAATAAATTTCAGCTTTTCTTCTTTCTCCTACCCACGTGCCATGTTTATCTGCACTGCTATGTGCTGACCACACCTAAAATTTATTTTATGGATCAGTGCAGTAATTGGCTAATTGCATTGTTGCACTTTGTCAAAATCTATTATCCTTTTTTCAAATATCAAGTTGCTTATATATATAATATCATGATGGGGGCAGTACAAGTAACACATTATCCCTCAGGTGAATCTCAGCAGGCGAGTCCACGCACCATGGTGCTTCATTAAATGATAGCAATTAACTATGATAATAACTAGATTTAATATACTATTGAACATTATTATCTTTAGCCATGAGGGAATTTTTGATTTCTTTCCAATCATCATATAATCAGCATTTAATCAAGTTTTCAACATTAATTTAATCCAGTGATTCAGCATAATCACAATAATCCAGCATTTTATCCAGTAATCCAGCATTTAGTCCACTTTAATCCAGTAATCTCATAAATTAAGAAGCTATTTCATCCATATAATCCAACACAAAATCCAATATTCCGAAATTAATCCAGTTGGTTCCAAGCCACAAGCCATAATCTGTTCATAATCCCTTGCATAATCCAGTAATCCAAGGTATTCGGGGTGGATTACTAATCCCGTACACTTTTTGGACTCGTTGCGGACTCCCGGGTTAGCTTGTTCTTTGATCAATGGCAACTAAGACTAGTCATGCCAGTTCTTGTTCCTCTTCTCTGAGTCTCTTCTCTTCTCCTTTGACTATTGGTAATGTTCATTAACTATCTAAGTATCACTGAATATGATTTTAGATCAACTTATTGATGTTGTTGACCTACTGGAGAGATGTGGTTTCCCTCAGACAAGATGGCATGAGCTTGGACTTAAACTAGGACTACACAAGAACACACTGGATGTTTTGGAAGCAGTTTTTTCTCGTGACATACCTCGATGCTTGACAGAATGTCTCTCCAAGTGGCTGCGTAGAGTTGATTATGTTGACAGTAAAGGAGGAGCTACCTTTGACTCACTGTCAGATGCTCTTAAATCTATGAATGAGAATGCTGCAGCTGACAAGTTAGATCAAGAGAGTAAGTTAATATCACTGATTGCATTAGTATTGACTCTGTGTGTGTATTCTATAGAATGTAAAGCAAAGGCTATTGATATATTTAACACTCATCATCCACTCCTCTCTCAGTCTCTCTCTGATCCTGTCAATGTAGCTATTATGCTTCAAAGAGAGGGTGTCATAACAGGACAAGTATTGGATAGTGTGGTATCAGCTAGTCCCTCTGTTCCTAATCAACGGGAAGTCCTGTTAGCTGCCATTATAGTAGCTATTGAAAGCAAGTATAGTTTACTACAAACATTTGCTAGTGTGTTGTGCAAGTTTACTGGTAATGTAAAACTAGGAACAGTTATACAAAGAGACTATGGTGAGCTAGCATAATTTGTGCAATGAATTTTATTTTTATTTTTTAGATGAAAAATTTATTGACGATAGTCAGTTAGTATCAGATGATGAAGGTACCTGTATACCAGTATAGAATATTAACAACTGAATTTTTTATTTTGATAATTTTTAGCTCAAGAACCTTCTGAACTTTCTGATTCCAATAAATCAACACCTACCACTGGTGAGTGCTAGTCTATTAATTATAGTCAGATTTATTTCTGCAGTTGCTCCTCTTTACATTCCACAATATAAAAGTCAAGATTTTGATGTGCTTTATGCGAAATTTGCTAAAATGTTTTCTAACGTTCGCAAAGTTATTTCTAAACGTCCGCCTTCTTTAGAAGATCTTAAGACATTCATTGAAGATTTTGACTCTGACCTTGAAGCAGAACTGAGTTTGATAAAAAATTTTCAAGGTGTCATGCGTCTCATTAGGAAAAAATGCAGTCTTGCTAATATTGTCATCCTTGAAGCTGTTGTTGAACACTTTGAGATTGATGATGCTCAGAAATACATCGATGATTACAAGAGGGAAATTGATGAATCATGTCGTAATTTATCAGTTGATCTGTGCTTGAATGAACCGTTTGATGTAGTTAGGGCCAGTCCTCCTCTTAAATGTGAAACAGCTACTTATGTGCTTGGATGGGAAGCTACTGAGCATAAGCTAAAGGACGTTACAGATATCGTATCGAAATCTTCTGGCAAATTTGTTAAGCTGGTCAACATCAAAAGCATTCAATCCATCACCATCACTTGCTCCTTCCCTCACTCTCTCACTGGAGCTCTCATTATAAAATTGAGTGAGAATCTTGAATTATTAATAAAGAATGGTCTAATGAAGCTTACTGTTGGATACTGCACAATATGGAAGAAAGAAAACATAGAAGTATGTGTCTGTAATACTGTCAGTAATTATCATTATATACTGTATTATGAAGGAAATACAGGAACCACTGGAAGAGGAGGTACAGGAGATAAAGGAGTATAATAATTCATGTTTGATTATTTTTTATTATTATAATCAATAGAGGCAGAAAGAGCTAAAAGAAACTGCACAGCAACTAACAAACATAATTAGTGAAAAAGAAAAGGTACTTTATTTGTTGGTTTTACATGTACATGTATAGGAGGGATTAATACTTCAAATTATTGTTGGAGTGTGTTGTTATATTAGTGTAGCTTTTTAATGAGTTATTACTCACCGCATGCATGTTTCATTATAAAAATATGTACATGTAGGAATTGTATGAAATGAAGAAAAAAGTACAAGAACTGTCATTAATAAATAAAAATAAGGTTAGTTATCAACCGTTGCCACTGATAATGGTGGGTTTTTATAAAAATTGATTAAAGTTAGTTATTATAGCATAATAGTGTATTACTTAGTTACTGATAGGAGAATCAAAATGAAGAGGAATGTACACTAGTGGAATTAAAGGAAGTAGAAGAAGCAACCAATGATTTGGAAGAGAAACTACAAAGTAATTATGCACAATATGACATATAATAGTACCTAACATTGGTGGGGTATTGTGTAAAAAGTCAATAAAATCTAAAATGTGATAGAATGTCTCATAATGAGTCATCCACTTGTCACCTTCATATTATGTAAAGTAATAATTGTATTAATTATTTTAGGCCTGAAAACAGAATATCACATTAAGTGTCGTATACATTCTACTTCAGGTCAGAAATTTCTTATTTTATTATTTTATTGTTGTTGTTATTGCAGCATCATACAAAATCATAAAAGGAATGAGAATGGAAATAGAACAAATATTAACAAATAAAACTGGTACTGAATCATAATGTATGTGTTAGTGTATTATAATTATACTATGATACATGTAGGTTTACTGGATCAGAATGAATCATTAATAGATATTAAGAGAGAAATAGCTGAACTACAAGAACAGATATCAGTAATGAGTGTACGTATACTAAATAAAAGGGAAGAAAATGAAGAAATGATGCATAGAATAAAAGGTGCAATTTACTAATAATAACTTAATTATTAGTAATGTGCAGTGTCACTGATAGATTATAAAAGAGATACATTGAAACTGGACCAGGAAATATCCATTGAACAGACACTAGATAAAAGAGAAGAGGATCAACAGGTTATTCATCAAGAGATAAAGGAAAAGTTGGATAGACTAATAATAAATGTGGAATTACATCAAACTGAAGAGCCATCAAATACCTCAAGTAATTTATTAATAAAGTGTTCTGCAGAGATATAGTAAATAATTAATGGACTATACTGATAGTGTGTAGCTTATACTTGCATACTTTGCCTAGTTGTAATTGACCAATCAGATTCATAGTTCATGTACCATCAAGTTTCCCAGGAGGTTCTCCTGTTTAAAATTGCCCATATATTTATCAGGTTTTGCTAAGTAAGTGCAGATGCTATAGAGCTTGTAATTATTGTACAATTAATTTGTGTCACTTTTAAAATTGTCTAGTTATCTACAATTTGTGTGTGATATAGCAAATTCAAAAAGTGGTAAGTTTTAGTAGCAATATTTTTTAAATAAAATAGCGAAAATTAAGAAAAACTGCAGATTTAGGAAAAATCACAAAAATTAAGTTCCATCTACATGTACAGTACATGTACGTATACATGTACAAGCCAGTTTAGCTAAAATTGTTCAGAAACCACCTCAATTGAGTCCACACTTAAGTGCATGTGTTTTCCAATCAGTTTATAAGTTCTACAGTGACCCTCGCCCTACAAGAGAAGGAGAAAGGGAGGGAAGTAAAGATGAAGGGAGAGTGAGAGAGAGTGAATGTAGTGACTGAATGGAGAGAGCTTGATGTAATTATTGACTAGATTTAAAAGGCTAAAAATCTTATTGACCAAAATGAAAAGAGCACACTTATGTGCATCAGTATTACATCATATTACATCACTATGACACAGCATTACATAACAATCAGAATCAGCATAACATGAACTAATAAGCATAGTAGTACATCATAAACATAAAAATAATTACAAGAGTAGAAAAAATATTGTACAGCAAGCAAGCAAGAAAAACAATAATAATGATAACAACAATAGCAATAAGCATAACAGAATCCTACATGAATACTAATAATAGTTGCAATAATGGTAATAGTAGTAGTAATAATAATAATAATAATAATAATAATAATAATAATACTAGAAGTAATAGTAATTATAATGCACCGCTCAATATATAGCAATGACAAATTTGAGAGAGAGGGAGACAATAATTATTGATTCCAGTTCATTAATAAAATGTACAATTGATTTTGTTTACTGGTACATGATAAAAGATAGACTACACTCATTCCATCCTAGCAGCTGTAATGACTTACTGGTACAAAACCAGCATCACCTGGAACAACACACAAACAAATATCATTAATAAATATCATATTATTTATGTAGTAAACTAATCTTATTAGGTAGTTATTATTAATATTGTAATTATTATTAGTGTTAATGTTATTATTAATGGTTAGGTTATGTTATTATTAGTGATTATGTAATGTACCTAAATATAGAACCTTTTTAATGTTTTTAAGTTCTGTACTGCATACACGATACTTAGTTAGTTGGTTAGTTGATTAGTTCTTAGTTACTTCTTTGTAAAGTATCTTGTTATCAAGAGCAACGCGTGCTATTATTGTCACTAAGTCCCGAAGTTACCACAATTTACCAATTGTACTGTATTAAAATCATTAAGTAACTGACTGTGTTTATTTTTAGGAGAAGAGACTGGAAAGGTGAAGTGGAGCAGTGCCCTCACAGAACCATCAGTAGGTCAATGTCAGGAAGTGATCAGTCAATCAACAGACAGTCATCAGGACATTAGCCTCTATCACTCATCACCTGATTTTGTACAAGTAAATAATAAACGTTAAAATGGAAAAGTAGTAGGATTGAATTAGAAAAGGTAAAAAAACTAAAGGGTACTTGCAAACTAGAGTGGTAAAAAATCCTATGCCACTGCATGAAGATAAAGATTTCATAGTATTCTGTGATGTGCCAGAATATTTACTTGGATTAAATTCTTCATGCACTGACATGCAATGGTGTTTTGCAAGCACCCTCATGCTCCTTTACTTTATTCCAATTCCTACTACTTTTGCATTAATTTTTAATGTTTTCTATTTATTCTTTTTTCCTAAATTATAAATTACATTATGTTATGATTATGTGGTTAGGTTAAATATTAGCTGAGCATGTGTGCATAAATTAAGGCCTGTTTACACTAATCCATTTCACATGTAAATAGAAATATTCTGATACAGCTAGTGTTTACACTAATACATGAAAATGCATCACCTACGCAACATGAAAACATGTACCAAAGTGGATACTTCTATAAACGAATGATAAATCTTATAAAAATGCAGTTGCTGGATTAATGTAATCACCTATGATAGCAAAAACAACCCTGATTCAGTGAAGTGGATTAGTGTAAAAGAGGCCTAAAATTGCATCAAACCACAAACCCACGTGGTGTCAACAACTTTAACTGCTAGCTCAATTTTGTCTTCCATTTTGTTCTCTTTTTTGCTTCTTTTTGAAACCACCTTTCCAGTTCTTGACGCAAGGACAAAGGAATTATGTAATAGCCAGTTCAAGCTTTTTATGTTGATAGAAGAAAGAAGAAGAAAAAGTTTCAGCAATTTTGCAGAAATTTGAATTTAGTGAGCCTTTTCTCCAGATTATGCTATCACTATACATTACAGTCCACTTAAAAGGTACCAGGAGAGCCATTTATAGGGCTGTACAATGTAAGATGAAAGATTTATAAGTGTTTGTAAATCATTAGTCTCGCCACACCCCTTGGGGGGCAAGACTAGTACATGTAAATCATAAAAATGATCACCATCTTGAAAAACCAACCTCGTTCTTATGTTGATGTGGTTTGGTCATGGCCTAATTACATAGATGAAGGTCCACCAATGCCCACTCAACATAGCCATCCAGTAAGACACTTTCCCTTCTCTTTCTTTTTTTTAATGCTATCACACATTGTTTACATTAATTTTCTGTATACGAAATGATTATGATTTTATTGGGAATAGTATAATGTTTGGTGAATTTGGCAGTGGATCATATATATTGGTGATTATATGGCAAGTGTCATTGAAGGTGCTCAGATTGAGCCGAAATCGCTGATTTTATTCTTCAAAGACAATACCAATTGCCAATATTTACATGTATAATTTCTCACCAATAAATCATCTTGTACATGCATGCAGTGTAGAGTGAGTGTTCATGTGCATATAATATCAGGGTTTTCTTGCAAAGCATGCTAATTAATTGAACATGGCATTTGGAGCAAATTTAAAGATTCATATAAACTCCAAATTTGATCTGAATCAGCTCAATGTTGATAAACAAGATAAAGACATGTATGTATCAGAAAAAATTATAAAAATTAACAATTCTCTCCTCTTCATTTTTGCCAACATTTGTGACCATAATTGACAAAAGGGCCCTTATGGCGGATTTTAAAATTGATCTTAATAATGGCAAATATCAACCTGTGAGTGCTTTGTTAGACAATCATTGTTTCTAAAAGTTTCATGGTAACTTTTTGCATCCTGTGGAGTAATTTTATGATAAATGGGGCTCAGGAAGTTGGATTTCTTAGGCTAGAAAGACAAATTTCACTACCCACCATAAGGTACCTTTTGTCAATTATGGTCACATTTGGTCAAAGACTCTGTACTAGAGGCCTTTTGGCCCAATTTAAAAAGTACACGCATAACACTTAATACTTTTTCAAAAGTACATCAGTAGTGCCTGCTGTTTGAAGACATGAAATGGCAGTATAGTACCATGACCCCATTTTCTTTCTTCTCTCTCCCCAGCCTCTCTCTTCTCAACACAGTGATAGTATTGATACTCCTGGGGGTGCAAGGTTTGGCCCTGCACCAGCAGCAAGAAGAACCAATGAAAGAGAACCTCAAGCCTCTGAGTTTAACAGACAAAGTACACATTAGTTATATAATTGGCCTCGCCTACGCGAGGTATAGGTAGTTGTTGTGTGTGTCTGTCATTCATTCATTCTGTACAAGCGAAATTTGTCTTTAATAAACAATAACTTTAGCATAGCGTGTTCTAAGCTCCTAGATCTTTCTTTTTTGCCTGAAAAAGTCTTGCTTAACTTTTTTGTGTTGCTCAAATATCAGCACTAGGTACAAGAAGCTTCAAAGTGAGAAAATCGAGTATGTGAGTCAAGTTCCATTATGTTGGAACTCTAGAGATAGCTGCTAGCATTTTCCAGTAGATTAGAACATGGCCTTCAAAAAATATGAACAGATTTCTCTAAATCTTACTTGGTGAAGAGTTACAGTTGTCTTGGTTCTTGTTTGTGAAGCGCTGGAGTGACAACCTAGTGGGCTATAGGTATACTAAAGTATACCTATACTATCTCAAATACATGAAGGCAACAACTTTCTGTCAGCAAGTTTATCGTATATTGTTGATTAGTAAAGGAAAAGTGAAGCTTCTTTCTCACATGGTCTTCTTGCTGCCATCATTGCAGTTGCACGTTGAAGATGTAATGCCACACCTTTTCAATCTACATGCATGGGAAGGGCTGGAGCTGCTTGCATGTATGTGCTGCAGTGCTGCTACTTCTGCAGGTATTCAAGAGCAAGTACATGCAACTGCAGGAAGCTAGTGTTGAGCAGACTCTCTTCATGCTGATAATCAAACAGCTATTGCAGTGCGGGCATGCACCATAGCAGCATAAGGGTGAGGCCATGCACCGTAGGTGTCTCGTTATACTTAGTAATAATCCTTATCTCTCTTCTGTTTTAGAACAAGTATATGTTGCTACACAAAAGTAAGTGCTTGTTGTTGATGTTGTCTATTGTTTTTTGTTGCTTAGATATAATGCAATTGGTCCAAGAAGAGAATTGTTCCTTTCCTTTGAGAGAGGAGAGGAAATTTTCATAAAAGACAAGGATCATGAGTGGTGGGAGGTATAGCACCCACTAATCAAAACTAACTCAGTTATTCACCACCTTTCTCTTTTTTCTTTTTTTAGGGTGTTGTTTTAAGAACAGGACAAAGAGGTTATGTTTTGCCAAATTATTTAAGACCTCAAGTGAGTGGTGGAACAATGGCCATAGTACATGTACATGTATTGTCACATCAAAATGACTAAAGTATCTGATCCCCACTTCCTGCTTTTATTCAATTTTTGCTCTGTAAAAATTTAAGCTGACTTCAATTACAAATGTATTATTTTTCTTTTCAGGGCCCACCCCAACCCTCACCTGAAGACGTGCTAGTGCAAATGAGACAGAAGCTATCAGAATATTCATGGTACCCATTGTACTACATGTACAAAATTTATATGTAAATTTAACTGCTACTTTATTTCACAGTATTAACTGTGACTTACTTGATTTCATACAGTATAAGTGTTGCTTGCTATACGTACATGCAGGGGCGTAGCTGGACCTTGGGTGATGGTAGGGCAAGGAGACAAAATGGCGCGCGAAGCGCGCCGCGATTTTGACCACACCCCTTTTACGTAGCAAAATGGAAGCATTTTCCTGCAAGCTGAGCAAAATCAGAGTGAAATTATCATTGTATATAGCTTTAAAAAGAGCTGTGGTTATCAGCCACCCCCTTTTGTTATTGTAAGAACAATGAATATAATCTTTTGGGTTATAATTTCAATGAATATAATTATAAGGCCACTTTGATGGTAGGGCCCAGGCCCCCTCAGGCCCTACCTCAGCTACGCCCCTGCGTACATGTACATGTACTGGTACATATACAATGTTTTTTCTAACTCTTTTTCTCTACCATATCTCTTACCTCCTTCCTTAGGTACATTGGCATGAGAACACGTATTGATACTGATGTAGCACTCCACAAATCCAGAAATGGTGTATTCCTTATAAGGGAAAGCATGGATAGACCAGGAGAATATGCTATAGCATTAAAGTAATTGGCATTAAAGTAATTGGGGCAAGCCTGAGTGAGCCTCACTCTTATAGTACTCTCAGTCACACCCCTTCTGTCTGTTTGTCTGTATATGTATGTACTTGATGTCGTCGTACGTCAGCCCTATTTATTCATATTAAGGTAAATGCCATGCATTAGCAATGCACATTTCAATATGTCAATTAAAAGTGGGAGTGGCCAAAGCAAAATGGTGACCAACACAAGCAGCGAGATAATTAAGACTTCTTTAGCAGCTAGCTAAGGTTATAGATTCAATTTTAAAGCTACGAAACTCATCTTTATTGATGTAATTGCTATAAAAGCTGTTTGAAAGTCAACTTGAGCAAAGAACTAAACTCAACTTTTGTTATTTCTGCCTTACCCAGTTACCCTGTACAATCAAGACTTATAGTCTGGTATGACCATAGTGTTTTTATAACTAAAGGCAAATTTGCACTCAATTGGCCCTATTCAGCCCAAAATTATTGTGATGTCACTGAATTGGGTCAATTTGCTCAAAAAATTATGCTTATTCTGCTGCTATATTGGAGCAAAACTAAGAAACAAAAATATGAGTAAGTTTGACTGAGCCAAATTGGTACAGACTCAAGCATACGAGTACTGTATCTACACATGTATTGTGTAGCTTAGGCTCACCCCCTTAATGTTCTACATTGTGCTTACATACATATACATGTATATGAAAGTATTACATACATGTACATACATGTGTACATGTGTATGTACTTAAATGATACACGTAAAATACATTATGTTATTTATGGTTGATACATGTATGTGTACCTTTCCTTCTCCTTTTAGGTGGGGAGGGATGCCCAAACACATCAAGATAATGAGAAACCCTCAAACTGAGAGGTTCTACATCTCAGACACCTGCGACTTTGACTCAATTGAAGAACTTGTTGACTATTATCAAAAGAACACCCTTGGTATCAGCTTCCCTGGAGTGGACACAACTCTTAATATTCCATACTCTGACACTGCAAGACAAAGACATCACGCTGTATCTGATTCCTCTAGTAGCTCCATGTCAATGATGTCCCCACCTCCTTTTAACAGGGACGGAGATACTTGGGTCGAGGCTGTGTATGATTATGATGGCGAAGGCCCTGGATTTTTATCTTTTCATGTAAAGACTGAGAGTAATTATGATAAAATTAATTATTTATTATTATTATGATTTAGCTTCTTGTCAAGTTATTCTGCCCTTTTTTCTTTTTCTAGAAACATGATCATATTAAAGTCCTGACTAAAGATACTCAGAAACTTAGTCTGTGGCTTGGCAAATTCAATGGGAAAGTACGTCACATGATCATCTTAATGTATATTCCTTCTCTCTCTCTTCTTTTCCCCCACTCTTTTTTTCTCTTTCACTCTTCTCTCTCTCCTTCCCCCCTTTTCCCTCTTCCTCTCTCTCTTTCTATAGACTGGATTATTTAGACCTGATCATACAGTGCCTCTTAATTAGGAGCCAGTTTTAATTAACTATTTTAACATTAATAATAGTAACCACACATGTTAGCACTCTTCACAAAAATTGCACTTCATTATTTTCTGTTTAGTAAAATTTCAATGTCTTTTTCTACTTTTTTACACAAAATGCATGGCTAACTATTTTTGGTTTGTTATTTATAATTTTAAAGATAATAATGAGGATAAAAGTGCTATAATAATGTATGTCTTCAGAAAGTCCTTAAAAAAACTACACAATTACACTATTAAATTATTGGTTTGAAGAGTCTCTGGGGCTTAGTTTTCTTAATGAAGCTCCTCTTGAGAAAGACTTTTAGAGAATAAAGAGAATCTCAAGGTAGCTAACAAGAAGTAGGGTGGTTGCTGAATGAGACCAGTGGGATAAAGCAATAGTGCATGAGACAATAGTAGGCATTGCATGCAACTAGTAATGGCTATAGTTACCACTGAGATCTAATGTAGACTATAGCCAATTTTGTAACCATTTATGCTCACAAAAGGAACAATTTTGGTGGTTGTAAATACTGTTACATTTGTAACCGGTTACTGTTGTATTGTTAATAATAATAACTCAACTTGATAAAACAATAAAATAAGAAAGTTCAATGAATCATATGCACTCTACACTCAGCAACAGTTAATTACAAAAATCGCTAAGCATTTATACCAACAGAGAAACCATACAAATATTAGTAACCACAACTTATGCATGAATAATAATACAATACATTAATGAATCATAAGATATTACATGTAATAACATTAACCATTTTCCATACATCACAGTTACTGCTCACAAAAACAATTTATTAGTCTCAAAGGAAGCCTGGTATGTTGTAACATTGTTCACCAGAAGTAAGTGGTTTAATATTATGTTTTTACCAAGCAAGGAACCAACTATTTACAAAAATCACACATATTTATAGCAAGGTACAAATCTGGAACATTCTAGCCCAGAATGTTCCAGTAAACAAAAAGAATAGTCCAAACAACAAAAGGAATAGTCCAGTAAATGAAAAAGAATAATCTAGAATGTTCTTAAATGGTACACAAAAATTAAATGCCTGTCCTATCTTGTTTCTACTATTACATATGTCCTATTACTCCCAGCATGTGTTGATCATAAGTTGGTAGTGATGACTCCTCCTTCTCCTCCTGCTTCTTGTATGATACAGACTGGGGAACTGTCTTTCTGATAGGACCTACTGGAGTAATGTCCCCGGGGCCTGTTCCTCCTCCTCTTTCATTTAGAGTATCAAGACTGGTTTTACGAGGGTAGGAGAGAGATTGGTGGGTTGGGGCCTCGTCTGGTTCCAATAAAGATTGTAACGTATTAACTAACATGTCTTTATCTGATAGTGTACTAACTAATAATGATACTCTGAGAGAGAGAGAGAGAGAGAGAGATGGTAAAAAATAAATAAAATAATCTTCATTCAGTATAATGTAGATATACATGTAATGCACAGTGTACTACACACTCCATTACTAGTCCAGCCACTAGATATAACAGATATACTATAAATACTTTGTTTTGTATTCTTCAATTGTTTCCTTGTTAGTTTCAAGTTGTTTAGTATAAGTTGATTTTTGCTCTTTTAATATTTTTATTTCATTCTCTTTCTCCTGTAGCTGTCTTTCTAATCTTCTTATCATAGCATCTCTAAACAATAAAAATAATAAAATAATAACACAAAATTTTGAAGTCAGAATCAGCTCATAATTTCTACACAGCATAAGTACATCAATATGTATCAAAAAATGTAATAAAAATTTGGGTTGATTTCGGAGCCATTTTTCAGAAAAATCCATGGGCTATTATAACCTTGGGTATTTTTTTAAATTTTGATATTTTATTAAAATGGCCGCAACTTGAAAAATTGAAGTCGGAATAACCTCAAACTTGCTACACAGCATTAGGACATCAATATGCATCAGAAAATGTAATGAAAATTTAGGTTGATTTCGGAGCCATTTTTCAGAAAAAACCATGGGCTATAAGCCTTGGGTATTTTTAAAAATTTGGCATTTTATTAAAATGGTCGTAACTTGAAAAACTGAAGTCGGAATCACCTCAAACTTTCTACACAGCATAAGGACATCAATATGTATCAGAAAATGTAAAAAATTAGCATAAATTTGTCAGAATAAACTATGGGCTATAGTTTCAGAATTATTGTTTAAAATGGTCATAACTTAAAAATACAAATATTAATGTAAACTTACTTTGGAATAGAAATAGAATCTTCTAATAATTGTCTTTCTGCCATCAACTCAATCACTTTATGCTCAAGCTATCAATAATTAATTAACTAATAATTAATAACTATTAATAACTACCTTAGCTTTATCTGCTTTAAGTTCAGCATTCAATAAGTTCAAATCTTCAGCTCCTCCTCCTCCTCTCTTTTTCTTTCTACTCTTCAATTTCATGCATTTTAATTGGATTTTTTTTACAAATTTTTAAAGTTACTAAAATTTTCCAAAACATAAAAGGACCAACATGTACATGTACATACACTGACTGTGTGTCCTAACCTTGTTGTATTGGTACCAAACACACAGCTGTACGAGAGACCAGAGGAGGTGGGGGAGGGGCAGGATGACGAGCGGAATAACGTACCTCAAGATACTTTGAGTCTCTGGGAATGTGTCGGGTAAATGAAACACATATTCTCTATCAACACTCTAAATAGTGAGAGACATGGAGACAAAGGATTACATGTACATGTACATATGTATATTTACTTTTGATTTTGGTCATACATGTAACTCAAAAATTTAATCAGAACCAGGTCAAACTTTTTACGTAGCATAAGGATATAATAAAATTTGGGGTGATTTTAAAGCCATATTTCTGAAAAAATGATTATAGCCTTGGGTATTTTTCAGAATCTTGGTAATTTCTTAAAATGGCCGTAACTTGAAAAATTGAAGTAAAAATCAGCTCAAACTTTCTACACAGCATAAGTACATTAATATGTATCAAGAAATGTAATAAAAATTTGGAGTAATTTCGGAGCCATGTTTTGGAAAAAACCATGGGCTATAGCCTTGGGTATTTTTCCGAATTTTGAAATTTTCTTAAAATAGCCGTAACTCAAAAAATTGAAGTCGGGTTCAGTTCAAACTTTCTACACAGCACAAGGACATCAATATGTATCAGAAAATGTAATAAAAATTTGGGTTGATTTCAGAGCCATTTTTTTGAAAAAACCATGGGCTATAGCCTTGGGTACTTTACAGAATTTTGGCATTTTTTAAAATGGCCATAACTTGATAAATTGAAGTCAGAATCAGCTAAAACTTTCTACACAACATAAGGACATCAATATGCATCAGAAAATGTAATAAAAATTTGGGGTGATTTCAAAGCATTACATTACATTACTTATACATTAAATACATGAGAGTCTTTTAAAGCTACAAGCTCCTACGAGAGAGAAAATGAAAGTAAGGATAGGAAGAGAGAGATGAGAACAATAAAGTATAAATATACTACTAACTGATAATAATCCACATTCTGTCAAAATGTTAAATAGATGAATAAATAAATAAATATATAATAGGTTCATTATGCTAAATGCTCAATGGCACTGACTGGTCACAGATTCATAACTATGCAGTAATTTACAATTTTACTAGAATGTACAGGTACATTTTAACTACCTCATCTGTTATTTTGCTGTCATTAGTAACTCAATCATTTTCATCATCAACTTTCTCTCTTCCCTGTATATCAAGTGAAAAGTCTATCATTATGGAGGGTTAAACTTAAAATAACAATATTTACCACGCCCAAAACTAGCCCCTCCCTTGTCATTCCTTGCATCCGGTTAGCTTGTTCTTTGATCAATGGCAACTAAAACTAGTTCTTGTTCCTCTTCTGTGAGTCTCTTCTCTTCTCTTTTGACTATTGGTAATGTTCATTAACTATCTATGTATCATTGAATATGACTTAGATCAACTTATTGATGTACTTAATCTGTTGAAGAGATGTGGTTTCCCTCAGACAAGATGGCATGAGCTAGGACTGACACTAGGACTTCATAAGGACTTACTAGATGCTATTGAAAGGAATCATCCTGGTGATATATCAAGATGCTTGCTTGAATGCCTCTCCAAGTGGTTGCGTAGAGCTGATAATGTTGACAGTAAAGGAGGAGCTACCTTTGACTCACTGTCAGATGCTCTTAAATCTATGAATGAGAATGCTGCAGCTGACAAGTTAGATCAAGAGAGTAAGTTAATATCACTGATTGTATTAGTATTGACTGTGTGTGTGTGTAATCTATAGAACGTAAAGCTAAGGCTATTGATATATTCAACACTCATCATCCACTCCTCTC